AAATCCATGAATCTTTCCTCAAATATAATCCTTTCTACTATTTTTTTTCTACATTGCAGTTAATGTTCTATTCAGACATAATACTTCTTGTGTTTGATTAATCTACTTGCAAGCTCTGAACTGGCACTAATCACATATTCTCAATATGCAGCATCTAAGATCCATCATAAACTAAGCACAAGACAAAGGTCTCGAAGAAGCCACTGTCAATATCAAATAAAAAAATAAATCAGTTTCTCCAGAACAGCAAGTGATTCTCAGAAGAGAATCATGACCTTGAACATATTTAACGGGTGGCTAGCATTATTTGCTATAGACAGTCCTTTAAATGAAGCCTAAAGCACATTTTTAAATAAGGCCGAAAAGCAGAACGCAAGTCACCTAAGCAGTTTCACCAATATATTTACATCTTGTAGTGCAGAAAATTACAGAATCATTAAAGCTTCAGCTTGATATCGAACAGCAAATCCATGTAAGTGCAAGTTAAGTCCCCAGTTTAATGCCATAGCCAGAATGACCCTCGCTCTGCCTTCGGTCCATAAACAGAAGCAAACAGATATCAAGGACAAGCAGAAATACCATATTGTGTCTGCATTTGTCAACGCCACTGGAAAACTGCATCAGCTTCTTCTTGAACTGCACAGCAAGAGATTAACAAGAGTTCCATGAAAAGCCAGATAAATTAAAAACTGGAAATGTGCTTAAAAGTAGGAAACACTTCAGAAACTTTATTTAGCTTGTTAAGGAAGTAGTGGTTAAGGAGCAACTTTGATAAGTCAGAAGAAGCATATATGAGAAACAGGAATCCAAATATGGAGGTCCCTTCAGATTAACACAAAAAGATATGTTTCAAATCTAAATTTGCTCCAAGCGGTCCATCAATCAGTACAACTTCCCTAAAGTTACTGTAGAATTTATCACTGTAAACATTGATGAGAATTCTATTCTATTTTTCAAAAAGGTTAAATTTAAGCGGAACTACAGGCTTTTTATTCAAGGATGTCCAATAGTCCACATTAAACAAAGCTCACATAACAATTCATACTGGCTCCTTTAGCCACTGCAGCCTCTCAGTTAACGGATTCATTTATTTTAATGGTTGACTCTGGAAAGTTTATACATAAAATGCTGACAGTGGTTTCAAAGTGACCACTGTAACAACACCGAGCAATAGTCCTTAGTTTTGTCTAGTTAGATAAAAGAATTGATTAGATTTGCAAAACCCATTATGACTGTAAGACAGTCTTCCTCAGCTGGGGATGCACCAGGCTGTACCTCCTTCCTCATTTAGAGTAGCTAACAGAAGTCTTTCATTAATCAGAAATACTACTCTTACACGCACCCACCTATTGGAAACCACATCCAAAACTTCTTAGAATTGGTTGCAATATATCACACTGAAAGTATCTAATGTCAGGTACAAAATCCTTTCATCACTGAAGAACTCAGACATTGACTAAAAGTTATACTTCTTTGGTATTCCTCCTTCAACTTACATCATTTTAACCTAGTGACTTTTCTGAGAAGCTAAAGCTGCTCCTAGACATCACTAAATATTGGAAAAGTCTACAAAGATACAATCATGCAGTCCTAAAGGAAGAGAGATTTCACAGTGCTAGGCCATTGGGATCTGCCTTCAGTGAAAGCTACCCCACGCAGCCAGGGACCAGCACCCACCACACACGACAAAGCCATGCTGGCCTCAATGCCTTTATGCCAGTAAAAAATATTCACAGTGCAATTCAGACCTGGGGGGAAAAGGGGTACTGGGAGGAAGGGGTCAGGACACACACCTCAAGACACTAACCAGACACCAGACAAGTCAAATGAAGGCTACTGACAGACAACGTACCAAAGCCCTTGATACACTATTCGGGTACTTCTTATTGTATTCAGTATCTCCTTCAAAACTCCCTCCAGACCCATGTTCCAAGAAATATATAATGGGCTATTGCTGTGACGGGACTTTGAATAAAGCTTTTTTTTTTTTTCCTCAAAAAAAAATTAGAATATGAATGTTTCTGCTTCACCAAGAAATCCATAGCCTTTTGTGAACAGATGATGCTACAAGCAGATGTACACAATCAGATTCCACAAGCAGAGTCACAATCAAGCAGATGATCTCTTCTGTACCAGCCATCTTGACCTGCCTGGCTTCATTTACATAAACTGGTTTTATTCACTACAACATTGATTATGTAAACCTCGACAAAATCTTCACCAAACATGCACTGCCACATCACTGACAGAAAACACGTAATCATTTACTGAGAGAAGGTTATTAGAAATGTATTTGCTGCAATGACTGACTTCAAATGCCTTGGGCTTTACCCTCTGATCACATTAACGTGCAGACAAGCGATCACAACTATTGCAAGACAATATAGGAACATGTTCTGGGGGGAGAACTACCTACTGGCAAAACAACGCCTTCCTCGTGATTTAAAGGTCAAGTACAGAACAAGCTGACTTTATTACTGCTAAGACAGAGTAAGAGCAAAAGCTAAAGGGAAAGTGTTGTCATCTTACAAACAGGACTCAGCAGTTTGCCAACTATGCCGATTCCTTTGTTCATCATCCTTTTCACCACCTAATTTAAAAGTCTTACAGCTCAAGAAATAAGTTATTCATCAACATCACAATCGATGCCCTTTTTTTTTAAGCACACACAGTGTCTCAAAACAGCTTTTTTTTTTTTTTTTTTTTAAAAATCTAGCTGTGAGGTCACTCTATCAATTTTAATCAAGTAGTTGTAACAAGAGCTGCGAAGCTACTTTTCTGCCAGTCCACAGGTCTCAGTTTCACTGTAGGGAGCAGAGCAGATTTACATTGTCTTATTTAAATCTTGTAATCTGGAGTTCCATTTAAATACAAAACAGGTATTGAGAATTAATTTTTTTAGAGTACTGAACAGATGCTTAAACTGTTCCAAGACTTCCTAGTCACAAACGTTGAGTCACCAAAGAGAGATGTTTCTATTATTTATGGCACTACATACAACATTTAAGACATCTCTGAGAGGAAACACAGTAATCAACTGCTAAACTGCCAAAGGGATCTTAAACCCCCCATCTTCAGACCAAACATGGCCAACAGAGTTACTGAAGTCACGGCATTTCCTGGAGTGTTTCCATCACGTCTACCTATTTCTACATCACATCCACCAAGCCTATTGTGTCAGTAAGCTGTGAAACAATAGGGCACTGGCTGTCAGTGCAGCCTACAGGACATACTGACCAGAGAGGTTCAGCCACCCGCTTGCAGACTTCTTGTTTGTAATTGTACTACAAGGACAACAGGATTTGTTTGCTTTTTTAGTACGTGTAACACCCAGATGATATAAGCACAGTGGTTTTAGAGAACAGCTGATACTCTGATAAAAACTAAACTCAGTCATATAAAGTTCATTTAAATTTTATTGGCATGTTTCAACACACAGCAGTGAAGATCAAGACCTCTGGCAGAACCGATATGCTGAAATCAATGCATTTCCATATTAAAGGAAAAGCACACCAGACTCTGCTAGGTTAAGATCAGAGCCAAAACATTTCATACTTCTGTACTTTCAACTGCTGCTAAAAATAGTAAAGCAACAGAAAGGAAAATGCTTCCAGCTGTGCACAAAAAGCCTCTGCAGCACAACATCAATTTATGCACTCTAATTTAATTAAAGATTCAACATTATACTATGACTTTATTGTCAGAGACAGTATTGCACAGCTGAGGTTACCCTCCATTTCCACAATTGAAACAGTAAGAACATTTCTTTATTAAATTTAGTTTGATATGGATATTTCTCCCAAATCAAGTTACTTGACTTAAATTCAAGTCTTTCAGGTGCCAGCTATGCCACGTTCATGGGAATAGCTGTATTTTATTCCATGGTAACCATATCTTGACCTAGTCTCGTGATAAGAAACATTTAGCATCCCTTAAAGAAAAAAGGTACCCCACTGGACACACGAGTACTCAGTCTTGGCTGCTCTTTTTATCTGTTCCCAGAGATTCAAACAGTTATTCTGCAAAGGCGAACACAGTTCTTTATGAAATTACTTGACCAAAACAAAACAAAAAAATCCCCAACAAACCAGAATAAGGTTTTCTACGACCCTGCAGCAAATATGTAACAGATTCTGGGGGAGGCTGAGCAACGCGGCAAGGCTGTAACTGTTCTGCTTCACGGATGGCTTGAAACCTTTCGGTTGTATTCATTACTAAAAATTATTCCATTAACCATATGTTTCTACATATTAAACTATCAAAATTAAGCATCTCTTATAAGGTTCACAAGGGCTCTCAGCAAGCACGGCTTAGACCCTTCTTCCTCATCTGCTTCCACGGTGTTCAGCAGAAAGGCTTCAAGCTTTAACAGCAGGGCAAGAACATAATACCAAACGGATTACTTTAAGATCCGTATCAAGCTGAGAAAATAAACATTTCCCCTACGAATCTGAACACAAGCGCTTCACCCTCCTCCCCCCCCCGCCTCTCCTCCTGATTCCAAAGTCATCTCCCCTGCAGCCTGCGCGGAGGGCGAGGGGAGAAGCCGCCAGGGAGAGCCCGGCGAGCGGCTGCGGCGAAGGAGCGCGGCTCGGCAGCACCTGCCGGCGGCACCGGCGGAGGGACGGGGCCGGGGGGGTGCCCCCCCCCCCCCCGCACCCCCTCCCCTCCTCTCCCCACCCCGCACAAAGTTTCTCTCCAGCAGCCCGCAAGGCCCCGCGGCCGCGGTGCCCCGACAGCCCGCCCTCTCCTCACAGGGAAGAGTCGCTGACTAACACCCCAAAAAAACGCAGAGGGGCACGGCGCGAGTGGGACCCCAGCGGCGCTCCGAGGCGGGGGGGGGGGGGGGGGGGGGGGGGAAAGGCGGGAAGCGGCGCCGCCGCGCGCTACCTCAGCGGGGAGATGCGGCCGGCGCTGAGGGGAAGCAGCAACACACATATACACGCACCCCCCCCCCCCCCCCCCCCCCCCCTTCCCCGGGCTCCCCTCACAGAGCTCACCCCAGCACCACCAGCTCCCCGTACTTGACGGGCTCCTTGTTAGGCGCGCAGTGCTCCTCCTGGCTAGGGGAAAACATGGGGCCGCCGCGAAGTCACCCGCCGCCGCCGTCCCACCCGCCGCGGGGGGGGGGGGGTGGGTGAGTCCCGAGCGGGCTCCGCGCTGCGCCCCGCACTGAGCCGGCGCCCGCCGGGCAGCGGACACTACACCCGGGGCGGGGGGGGGGGAGGAGCGCAGGGGGGGACGTACCAACCCGCCGCGGCGGGGGGAGGGAGGAGCAAAGCGGGCGCCCACCCCCTCGTCTGCCCGGCCGCGCGTGGCCCCGCCCCCCTCCCTCTCTCGTTCACCGCCCGCGGAGGGGGCGGGGCTCCGGGCCGCTGCGCTCCTCCCCGTTTCGCGTGTCCTCCTCCTCCGCCCCCCCCCCCCCCCCTCACCGCCAGAAAGTGGTACGGCCCCGCTGTGTTATGTAAACATAGAGTAAAGGGGACGGGGCCGCTCTTAAAGGGGCCGCGCGGCGGGGGGGGTGGGCGGGAATCTCCGGGGGGTCCCGACCGCGGAGGGGGGGGATGGTTTCGAGGTCACTCTGACCGGGAGGTGAGGAGGACGGCGTCCTGGGTTCTAGATCACCTGGGGGACTAGATCACTCTGTGGGGTTCTAGATCCCCTCCTGACCCACACCTCCCTGCAGGTCCCCAGGTTCTAGATCACCTGGGGGACTAGATCACTCTGTGGGGTTCTAGATCCCCTCCTGACCCACACCTCCCTGCAGGTCCCCAGGTTCTAGATCACCTGGGGGTCTGTGTCACCTCCTGCCTGGGTTCTAGGTCACCTCAGGGTTCTGGATATCTCCAGGGGCCGCAGACCACCCCCTGCCCAGGAGGGAGGTCCTGGGCTGCCTGCTGGGGACACACACACACACACACACACCACACACCCCCAAATCACCTCCCCGTGGCTCCACATCTCTGTGTTGCTCTGGATTCCCCTCAGGGATCTCCTAGGAGGGGGGCCCAGAGGGAAGGGGGGCTCCAAACCACCACCCAGCTCCTACACCTTCCCCGCTGCCTCCAGTGACGGGGCCACCATCAGCTTCTGCGCCCATGGCCGAGGAACGGCTGCTCTCCCGTCTCTCACCCCCCGATGAGGCGGGAGCTGTAGCACCCACCTTCCCGCCTCATCTCTCCCGCGTCTTCTTCTGAGGCTGCAGAAATGTCCCCCCCCACCACCACTTTTGTTCTTCAGGTAGAGCTTTGCAAAGCCAGCGCTTTTTAATGCTCCAACTCATCCCTCCAGGCATGACCACCATCTCCAGCGTCACAGGTCTGCTCCAAAGTTGGGCCAGGGCTTCTTTATTCCTTCTAAAAGCTTATTTTCAAAACAACAACAAAACAAAAAGGAAAAAGTCCAGAATGAAAGTGGGTGATAGCGGTATTCCCAAGGCCATGGCCCCTCCTGGAAAGCCCACTCCCTGCAGCACTCAAGCACAAACACATTTTCACTTAATTTCTGACAAATTTGGGTGAGATAAGTCTTGGTGTCAAAAAATTGGTGGTCAGACAGGTGTCGAGGGGCACGTGCCCAGACGCGAAAGCCTTGTGCAACACCAAACCAGACTAAGAAAGCCACAGCATGCAGAAAACCCCCAAACCTCAAACTTTCTAGTGACTTCCAAGGACTTTCCCCTGCAGCCTGTTGCTGCCCCGGTGTCTCCCCCGCCACCCTCTTTGCTCAGAGCTTTACTTCCCTTCTCCCCAGTACCCGACGCAAGCGCAAAACCAACAAAGATTAGCTCGACATCGATCCGTGTCGAGGACGGAAATTCTCATTAGCCGCTATTTGAGGTCTCCAACCCGGGAGCCCGTTAACGAAGACAAAAGTAATTGCAGTGGCCGCCACATTGCTCCTGACCATCACCAAAAAGCATCCCCTGGGCCAGCACGGTCAGACGCAGGATCAAATCCTGCTCCTCCTGTTGAAAGCTTTCCCTCTGCCTGAAACTGTATTTAGCTATTAATTTTCCCGGTAATGTTATTTTTCTGTCGTTTCTGGTGAAGAGGTGAAATGGAAAAACCCAGCCAATCTCACAGGGCTGCAAAATGGAGATCTTCCCAGGGGCTGTGTGAAGAAGACAAGATTTTATTAAAGACAGAGAGCTGAATTATTACAGATTTATCTTCTTTATTGCCCTAACAAAATAGAAAAGAAAGCCAGGCTGTAAGTCACTGTCAAAGAAAACAAATACGGCCCCGAAAACAGTGTGAATAACAAACCTCCTGGCTGCATCCTCTTCAACTTCTCCCATTTCTCCCCCCGAAAGCAAGACCTTCGCAGCAGCTTGGCTTTTGCACGGCATAAACAAACTTCAATACTCTTCCAAAAAACACTCCCAAACAGCTCGGCCGAGCCCAGCTTCCCGTAAGTCAAACCTCCAATTAACGTGGCTGGACTTACAGCATCTTCTGCTGCTCCCCAGCCCCACAAAGGGATGGAGGGATGAGGAAGGACCTTGAAGATCTGATTTTGCCCCTTTTTCCTACTTTCTCATTTTCTAACAGTACACCTTTTGAAGAACAGGGAAAAGTTGTGTAGAGCCTTGCACACAAGGCTCATAACTGCAAGGTTTGCACCCTTTTGCCAAGCCTGCACATCTTTTTTCAGCAATGCAAACCAGCGCATTTGGTGTACTGAAATACAGAAATGCTGAAATTATTAACTACGGAAAATGCGCTGGTTTGCATTGCTGAAAAAAAAAAAAAATTAAATACAGAAAATACACTGGTTTGCATTGCTGAAAAAAAAGTTGCGGAGGCCTAGAAAAAAGAGCCCAGCGGGATTGATGGGGGAATATTTGCACCTGATATATTTGTAGGAGGCAGATGAGCTGTGCTGGGGTGGGGAGGCACCCACCCGCCATGTACCTGTGCTGGCAGACAGCAAGATAACCCGCGCTGCTTGGGTTGATGCATTAATTTTTCCTTGGAAATGTTGTTTATTTGTACATGCACAGTCTCTTCATTCTGCATCTATCCACGGGGTATTTTAGGCTGGCAAGCGAAGAGTGAAGCTCAGCCCCAGCCCTATGAGGTGTTTTAAGGGCTCCTGGGTCTTTTCTTCCCAAATCGTAGGTTTTCTCATTGTAATTTCCAAGGACCTATTCCTCCCAGCACTAGAAACTGCTTTTAATTTTTTAATGTTACAAATTTTTAATTTTTGACTAATGAAGCGGAGCCAGGAGGAGGGAGCAGCTTTGCTGTAGGTTGCACGGCTTCCCATCCCACACAGATCACAGCCCCGAATCCCAGCACCGTTATTTCCTCCAGCTCCAAAAATTCCTTCAGCAACTGGTGCAAACAACTCGTGGCTGGCATTTTTCCCCAAATCCATTGAAATAATTGAGAAATGTACCCACAGCTGCATTCTGCTATTTTTCAACTCAAAATGCCTTGCAGCCTCCAATTCAGGATGGCTCAGTGTGGCTTTTCAGAGCAGTGAAGGGAGGTTTGGTTGTTTTCCCCCTGGAAGTGGGAATTGCAGATAACTTGGAGCTCCTTCCCGGCGGCATCAACCCTGTGAGAGGGAGTTTGCTCCCAGGTTTAGCACAAGCAGCTGCTTGGCTGGAAGGAAGGATATCCAGCCCAGCCAGAAGAGCATTAAAATCAATGTTCAAAAAAATCCCAAACATGAAGAAATAGTACATGCCCATTCATTTTTAAAATGTAATAAAAAGTTATTTTAAATGCAGGAAGATTAATAAGGCTCTAATTCAGCAAAGTACTTACAGATGTGCTGGACTCTAAGTAAGTACTTCAGTGCTTTTATGAATCAGGGCTTAGGGACTGAGCTTGAAATATAGAGAAAGTATTGAAAGATGTAAATAGCCCATGCATCATACCTGTGGCTTACACTGCACGTGAAGCTCACAGTACATGGGATTGGCACATAAATAGGGATAAAGGTTTCCATTCTCAGCCCTATATTATTGCCATTAATAGAAAGGTTTCCAGGAGCAGGATCAGGTTTATGTTCAGCCATTAGAGTGGATGGTCAGAGCTGGGGAAGTCAATCTCTGGGGTCACAGATGCCTGGTTTTGGTGCTCCAAGGTTGGGAATAAACCCCAGGAAAAGAAAAAACTGGCTCAGCTCCAAGGTTAGGATCAACCAGATATCGGCTGGGTGGGTGCAAACCTCTCAGGCTGGAAAGTCCCCAGCTTGCAGGTGACTGAGGCTCTCGAGCAGCCACTAAGTAGAAGCAGCAGAAGAAAGAGCTGTAGATGTTTTAAAATCAGGTTTGATAAATATACCACAGGAAAAATATGATGCGATTTCTCATAATGATGCAGTACTGAGCTTAGCACGTTTTGGGGACCCTTTCAGTCCTGTGTTTCAGGGATTCAGTACCTAACGTAGATTGGGCTAAAATAGATTTGATTTTCTTTACAACACTTGGGAATATGTCTATGTGTTTTGAACCTGCTATGGTCTTAATTTTCCACCATGCCATGTAATGGTCTCGATTCACAGTAATACCTAAAATTTAAAAAGGGGAATTACATTACAAAATAAATGGAAGAGCTAAGAGGACAAAAATACTTAAAGATATGTTACAGCAGCCTAAAAATATGTTACAGGCTACAGCTTAACACTTCTTAATAAAGGCTCTAAAGGATTTTTAAAAGCAGGTAAGTTAAGTAACAGAGTGAAGAAAGCCATTAGGAATAAAAAAGGTAGCCATCAAAAAGCTATGTCTAAATGAGGAATATAGAATAAACACTGGCAAATATAAAATCACAATAAGGCAGGTGAAAAAGATTTTGCAGAACAGTTTGCTAGAGGCATAAAAATGCATGTAAAAACATAGCAGAGGCAGCAAGGGGCCAGCAAGCAGTGGAAGTGTGAAAGAAATCTTGGGTGAAATAAAACCCTGGTGGGTCATATAAATGAGACCCACACATGTCCGCGTCGGGAGAGGGGGCTGAAGACTCCCACAGCAAAACCCTCTTTATCTGGAATGGGTCTGATGAGCTTCTTAAATACGAGTGTCACCAAGAGACATTTTGGAATTAAACAGGTAAATTGAGAGAGGAGCGAATTGCCAGGGCGAGATGTCACTGGCCCAAGACTTGTAAAGAAATTCAAATATAATTATGTGAATAATTAACAGTATTTGTCAGCAGTGGATGAAAAATAGGAAATGACAC